GGCCCGGGCATTTTTTTATCACAGCGGCCCATAAAGAAGGGGGCGGGGCAGAGAGGGTGTGTTTTGTCATCACTCATGATGCCCCCTCTCAAAGTGAGCATGTTGGTTCAATGCTCTTCCAGGGCAGACCATGCACAGAGCTCTGCTGAAGAGCTCTAGCATGAGAAAAAAGCCCTGTATTTGTTCTGGGCAGTGCAAGCAAATTTAATAACATGCTTGCACTGTGTTTCCTTGCAACTTGTCTCTGGTGTCTCTATAAATGGATACCAGGAGACAAAAGGGCCAGGAAAGAGTATTGTGCATGTGTTTGGAGCCTGCTTGTGGTATTGCGTGTGTACAGAGTGAGCTGGTCGTGGTGTGGTATTGTGTAATAAGGTCGGTTTTAGTCGTGTTGTGTTTGTGGTGTAATGTAATGCATATGTGGCTAGGGGCTGTAGAGAATGTGTCTATAGGGGATGTAGCAAGTGTGTGTATACAGGCTATAGTGTGTGTGTGTGTGTGTATAGGTGATGTAGTGTTTGTAGAGAGTGTGTGTTCAGGGAATGTAGTATGTGTTTGCTTACAAGGAATCTAGTGTGCGTATAGGGGATCCAGAGTGTGTGTGTGTGTTTGAAGGACCCAGAATATGTATGGGAGATCTAGTGAGCGTGCGTATATAACGGATTCAGAGTGTATATAGGGATCTAGTGTGTGTGTATGTGTGTAGATGATCCAGAGTTGGGTAGAGGATCTAGTGTGTGTCTGGAATGAAATGTGTTTAGGGGTGCTGTGTATGTGTGTGAGGGGTGCTGTGTGTGTGTATATATATATATATATATATATATATTATATAAATATGTTTGGAAGTATTGTGTATGTGTGTGATGCAGTGTATCGGGGGGTTGTGTGTGTATGTGAGGGGTGCAGTATGTGTGTGTGATGGATGCTGTGTGTGAGGTGTGGTGTGGGTGCTGTGTGAGGGTGCTGTGTATGATGTGTGTGAGAGTGCTGTGTGTGAGTGCTGAGTGTGATAGTGCTGTGTATGATGTGTGTGAGTGCTGAGTGTGATAGTGCTGTGTATGATGTGTGTGAGTGCTGAGTGTGATAGTGCTGTGTATGATGTGTGTGAGTGCTGAGTGTGATAGTGCTGTGTATGATGTGTGTGAGTGCTGAGTGTGATAGTGCTGTGTATGATGTGTGTGAGTGCTGAGAGTGCTGTGTGTGTGAGTGCTGAGTGTGATGTGTGTGAGAGCGCTGTGTATAAATGTTGTGTGTTGGGGGGTAAATAAACAAATAAAAACCTAAGTGGGAATAAATATACAAATTAAAAAAAATAAGGGGGATAAATAAACAAAAAAACTAATCATGCATTATATCCCCCCCCCCCTCCTTACCTTTAGCCTGGGAGGGGGAGGGGTCCAGGACGCTGGTGCGTGGGGGGGACCAGCACTCGCACACGATCCCTGGTGGTCCAGTGGTGACTCTTGCGAGATCGGGGTGTTGCCATGGCAACGCTCCCGATCTCGCGAGAGGAACCCGGCGGAGCTGCAAGTTAGAGCTCCGCCGGGTCCTCTCCCTCCCCAGCCGCAGGTCTATTTAAATGGGCCGGTGAGGGAGAGCTTTGATCTGCTGGCAAACAGCGGGGCCGGCGCTCGGATAGTGCCGGCCCTGCATAGACCGGCGGGGGAGATCCTGGGACCTCCCCTGCCGGCCTCGGCCCATGGCCACCGCGGCCCACCGGGTATTTGCCCGGTGTGCCGGATGGCCAGTCCGGGCCTGCCCTCTTCCATTCAGGTGCAATCCATCACAGTTATACAGATTGGTGGTTCCTTTTATGTTTAATATGGAAACCTGATATGAAAATTCTTCAACTGTCAGAGGGGCATGAACTTTACTGTAATTAGATCTTTCTTCTGGACAGTATCCCTTCCGGTGGACCAAAAATTGTAGCCTGCCTTTAGAGGTATGGGAGTCAATTTCTTGGATTTCATACTCATCATGATTGTCAACTAAAATAGGAGCTAGGACAGGAGGAGAGGGTGTGGAAAATCTGTTACAGAGCAATTGTTTTAAAAGCGAAACGTGAAAGGTATTATAGATACAAAATCTCTTAGGTAGGGCAAATGTGTAAGCCACTGGGTTTACCCAACAGCTAAGATGTACTTACCGGTAGGAGCCAGTTTGGAAAATTGTAATGTTGTGTAATGTTCCGAGTTGATAGCCAGACTCTGCCCCCAGCCTGGAGCAAGATTGTGTCTTTTGGAGCATTACCAATCGATCCAGAATGTCCTTAACTCTCGCCAACAGAGACCTTAGCTCAGCCAGATGGTCATCTAAGGCAGGTATTCTAGATACAAAACCTTCTGCCACAAAAATTGTATGATGGAACCCATAGTTTACCATAAAAGGGCTCGGACCAGAGAAATCATGATTAGCATTTTTCCAAGTCAAGGCGGTCAAAGGCAGAAAGCCCGACCAATTTTCCTTTACAAAGTAACTGAGGTACTGCTCCAGAGACTGGTTCAATATTTCAGTGGCACATTTGTTTGGTGGTGATACGCAGAGGAGAAAGAGAGCTTGATGCCTATCACTTCACAGAATTTTGTTTAAAACTGGGAGATGAATTCCCTCTATCCAAGATGCTTTCATGGGTTATACATCATATCTGACTACTGACTACTACTTACAAGGCAAATGCGTTGTAACACCTTCCACGTTAAACAGAAGATGGTAACTTAGGGGAATGAAATTAGCCATTTTAGAAAATTAGTCTCTAATCATAAGAATGGTAGTGAAACCTTGAAATGGAGGCAAAACTACAAAATAATCCATGGAAAGGTGTGGCCATGGACACCTCGGAAATAGGTAGTGGAATGTGAAACCTTGTTCTTGGCATAACTGAAATAGGCAGCTACAAAGTCTCTGATATCCTTCAGCAATTCTGGTAACCAAAATGTTTTGTATAAGAGAAATAGTCTTATGAGTAACCGTATGCCCTGCAAATCTGCAGATATGAGAAGTTTCCAACAGTTGTTTCAGAAAAGAAGCAGATGTTAGCCATTCCACCAAATGCATGGCACTTCTGTACCCAGGATATTATACGTATAAGTATGCATTAGAATACTTTGTATTATTATGCCAAGTGTCCTGTACATTAATCTAACTGCAAATTTAAAAGGTATAACTCAAAAATGTATTTAAAAATAAACTACATAGAACATTGACAAAATAACATGTTACCTGTCCCCACTGTCTAACACTAAACTTTACCATGAAATATAACAAAAATCCCTTTAAACATTTTTTTACATTGTTGTGTGATTCCATATTCCATCCATGCTTTAAATATTTTTTTTTACATAAGAAATCCATAATATTTTAGATAAAAGACCCAATTTAGTTGTGTCCTAAGGTGTTCACTCAGTCCTGTTACCCTCACATATTCCCCACTCTGAAAAACTTGGAACATTCCAAGACATATTTTCAACAGTTAATTGCATCAGTTGGAACTTCTGTGGGAGATGGTAGTTAAATGAAAAACAGGTGGCCAGAAAATAGTCCAACAGGACAGACCAGGGGGTAACCCTAATGGGATAAACCATATAAAGGAAAGAAAAGGAAAGTCTGTCCTACACAATATAAATACAAAAAGTGTAGATATAAGAAAAAGCAGTTAAGCTTTTAACTGCTTTGTCTTATATCTAAACTTTTTGTATTTATATTGTGTAGGACAGACTTTCCTTTTCTTTCCTTCTGCCGGAAATGTGATGACAAAAAGTAAGTTAGAATGTCATTCACACCATTCTATCCTGTTACATAAATTATCTTAAATGTTGTTTGTTTTAAATTGCATATTTTTGGTAAATCACTAGAATTTACTCAGTGTCTCATGTGGCTTTATCAGTCCTGTTACTCAAATAATAAGTAACAGGGCTGAGTAACAGTAACAGGAGTAAGTAGCGCCCTCTGGTGTATTGATGTGTTAGTATGTATTTTTGTTGACATGTACTATTCACTTGATTTTTAAGCTTTACAGTTGAAATTACTGAAGTTTAGACATTTTTAGATTAATCTTACAAGATGAATACCTGTCACGGTTTAGTAGATAGAGGCCAGGATGCAGTAACAAACTGAGAAAATCCGAAGCGAGGTACAGGTAAGGATAAGGCAGAAATGAGATCAAGCAGGCAATAGGTCAGGCCAGGCAGCACAGATTCATAAACAGGAGACAAACAAAAGGTCAAATACCAGATATTCAGAACAGAAGCAAGGAAGTAACTGATATCAGCAAAGAGCACAGAGTACTGAGCACAGGTAGCATGTGTGAGCATGTTTAAAGGAGAGAAGGAGCACAACACCTTCGGTGTCAAACCCTTGTACTGCCTCCCTGATACTTCCCCTTTAAGGAATGCCCATTTTCCATCTAAGAAGCTCTGGGATCGACGTGCTTAGAACATCCCTTGTGCCGTGGTCATTGGCTGGGCCGAATTACTTGATCCGGCTTTGTGCAACTGCCTTCCTTTCTATGCGACAATGGGCTCACAATACCATAGTTTCAGGGAGCCATTCCTAAATTTTTATTGATATAATTTTAAAGACTGTAATTATAGTCATTTTATTATTATTTTGTTTGCAATACTTTGGTATTCATTAAAGGTTAATACGTATGTACAATATACATCGTCTCTGGAGCTCTCGGGGATGGTTCACTCTTCTGTTCATCTACTTGCATCATGTCTAAATATCTTTTATCATTACTGTGTTCTTACTTGCGCCTTGACGTGTTTCTTTAGCCAGTTTTAACTTTTAACATAAAAATGTGCAGAATTTTTATATGCCACGTACTTGATGATTAACCTATGTTGAAATGCTTGCTGAAGCCACTGTTGCTGTTGCAAACTTGCCACTGTCTAAATTCATGCACAACAAAATAAAGAATTATAAAAAAAAATTTAAAATGGGGGGAAAAAATAATAATGCAAAGTCATTTAATATTGCTTCTAAAATTTTATTAAACATCACCAGCATGAAAAAATAAATAAATAAAAGTGCAAAAGGACACAAAACGTAAGCAACTCTGCATGCATGCCAGCCTGGGTACTACTCTATTTCCCTGAGACTGTGATCCCAAGACATCTTTTAGAATACCATGCAAATCGAGAATGTTTCAAGTGATACCTCCCATGTGTTTTTTCCCATGTGGCATCATTTACTGAAACATTGGGTCTTGGCTGTTGGTGGGGATACCTGTGTCCTTCTCTTTCAGAAACTGAATAGCTCTCCTGTGCACCACAAATCCTTAGTGGTGGTGGTGGGGGTACTGTTGCTGCTCCTGCAGTATTACCACAATTAGCCTTGTAGTTCCCTTTTTATAGAGCGTTAATAATGTTATATGTGGCACGTGTTATTTCAGTTACACTGCTTAAGAAATGTTAGCTTCGGTTTGATGCTGCTTTCACGTCTGTGGTTTATCAAGTTATTTTGGTGTTGTAATTGATAGTTTTATTAATCTATTGATAACTCATCTTGAATGTTAAATGTGTGTTACAGAGATTGTTTGTTTTTACTGAATCTACAATGGTTGAAGTGCTTTTGAAATATATCGAAATGGTTAGAATGTGATCAATTCAACAATGTTACTGGTTCAGTAGGTGTAGTGAACCCCTTAAAGGACCACTCTAGGCACCCAGACCACTTCAGCTTAATGAAGTGGTCTGGGTGCCAGGTCCTTCTAGGGTTAACCCATTTTTTCATAATTATAGCAGTTTCAGAGAAACTGCTATAATTATGAATGGGTTAAGCCTTCCCCCTAATCCTCTAGTGGCTGTCTCATTGACAGCCACTAGAGGCGCTTGCGTGCTTCTCACTGTGAAAATCACAGTGAGAGCACGCAGCGTCCATAGGAAAGCATTGTAATGCTTTCCTATGAGACCGGCTGAATGCGCGCGCAGCTCTTGCCGCGCGTGCGCATTCAGCCGGCGGGGCGTAACGGAGGAGGATCGGAGGAGGAGAGCTCTCCGCCCAGCGCTGGAAAAAGGTAAGATTTTACCCCTTTCCCCCTTCCAGAGCCGGGCGGGAGGGGGTCCCTGAGTGTGGGGGCACCCTCAGGGCACTATAGTGCCAGGAAAACAAGTATGTTTTCCTGGCACTATAGTGGTCCTTTAAGAGTTAGTTAACTGGACTTCAGTCTTCTTTTTCGGGCCTTCTCTCAAGACAGCAGTATCATATTAGCATCCACTCCATCTCCACGTTCGTCTGCCATGTCCCCAAAATTATGCTTTCTTGCAGCCATTCTGCACAGTATATACTCAAGTCAGAAGCAGGCCCGGACTGGCCATCGGGCACACCGGGCAAATGCCCGGTGGGCCGCGGTGGCTGTGGGCCGAGGCCGGCAGGGAGATCACAGGATCTCTCCTGCCGGTCTTTGCAGGGCCGGCACTATCCGAGCGCCGGCCCTGCAGTAGTCCATGGCGGGCTGGTGAGGGAGGTCAGAGATCTCCCTCACCGGCCCACATAGAGTATACTGCGGCCGCCGGCGGGGAGAGAGGGAGGGAGCCAGCCTGCCAGCAGAGGAACCCGACGGAGCTCTAACTTACAGCTCCGCCGGGTTCCTCTCGCGAGATTCGGAGCGCTCCGGGTCTCGCGAGAGTGAACTCTAGCCTCACAGGCTAGCATTCACTCACCACTAGGACCACCAGGGATGGATGGCAGCCCCAGCAGCAGGATCCCCCCTCCCAGGCTAAAGGTAAGCAGGGAGGGGGGAAATAATCACTCAGGTATAATCACAGCAGCCTCACTCACAGATACCCTGCACCCCTAACACTCACAGCACACACACACACACTGCACCCCTAACACTCACAGCACACACACAAACTGCACCCCTAACACTCACAGCACCCTCGCACACACACACTGCACCCCTAACACTCACAGCACCCTCACACACACACTGCACCCCTAACACTCACAGCACCCTCACACACACACACACACTGCACCCCTACCACTCACAGCACCCTCACACACACACACACACACACACTGCACCCCTAACACTCACAGCACCCCTCACACACACACACACACTGCACCCCTGGACCAGAGCACCCTCAAGACACACACACTGCACCCCCACCACTCACAGCACACACACTGCACTCTGACACTCACAGCACACAACACACACACTGCCCCTGACACCTCACAGCACACACAAATGCACCTTTCTAACACTCACAGCACCCCTACACACACACACTGCACCCCTGACACTCACAGCACCCTCACACACACACTGCACCCCTGACACTCACAGCGCACACAAAAATGCACCCCTAACACTCACAGCACCCTCACACACACTGCACCCCTAACACTCACAGCACACACAAAATGCACCCCTAACACTCACAGCACACACACTGCACCCCTAACACTCACAGCACACACTGCACCCCTGACACTCACAGCACCCTCACACACACACACACACTGCACCCCTGACACTCACAGCACACACACACACACACACACTGCACCCCTGACACTCACAGGACACACAAAATGCACCGCTAACACTCACAGCACCATCACACACACACACTGCACCCCTGACACTCACAGCACCCTCACACACACACTGCACCTCTGACACTCACAGCATCCTCACACACACATTGCTACAATAGTTGTCTGACATCTTCCCAATTCCCACAAACATTTTGACCAGCATATGTCAAGACAGAAGCAATAATCTACACTTTTCATGATAATTGCAACCCCCACTGACTATACAGGGAGTGCAGAATTATTAGGCAAATTAGTATTTTGACCACATCATCCTCTTTATGCATGTTGTCTTACTCCAAGCTGTATAGGCTCGAAAGCCTACTACCAATTAAGCATATTAGGTGATGTGCATCTCTGTAATGAGAAGGGGTGTGGTCTAATGACATCAACACCCTATATCAGGTGTGCATAATTATTAGGCAACTTCCCTTCCTTTGGCAAAATGGGTCAAAAGAAGGACTTGACAGGCTCAGAAAAGTCAAAAATAGTGAGATATCTTGCAGAGGGATGCAGCACTCTAAAAATTGCAAAGCTTCTGAAGCGTGATCATCGAACAATCAAGCGTTTCATTCAAAATAGTCAACAGGGTCACAAGAAGCGTGTGGAAAAACCAAGGTGCAAAATAACTGCCCATGAACTGAGAAAAGTCAAGCGTGCAGCTGCCACGATGCCACTTGCCACCAGTTTGGCCATATTTCAGAGCTGCAACATCACTGGAGTGCCCAAAAGCACAAGGTGTGCAATACTCAGAGACATGGCTAAGGTAAGAAAGGCTGAAAGACGACCACCACTGAACAAGACACACAAGCTGAAACGTCAAGACTGGGCCAAGAAATATCTCAAGACTGATTTTTCTAAGGTTTTTATGGACTGATGAAATGAGAGTGAGTCTTGATGGGCCAGATGGATGGGCCCGTGGCTGGATTGGTAAAGGGCAGAGAGCTCCAGTCCTACTCAGACGCCAGCAAGGTGGACGTGGAGTACTGGTTTGGGCTGGTATCATCAAAGATGAGCTTGTGGGGCCTTTTCGGGTTGAGGATGGAGTCAAGCTCAACTCCCAGACCTACTGCCAGTTCCTGGAAGACACCTTCTTCAAGCAGTGGTACAGGAAGAAGTCTGCATCCTTCAAGAAAAACATGATTTTCATGCAGGACAATGCTCCATCACACGCGTCCAAGTACTCCACAGAATGGCTGGCAAGAAAGAGTATAAAAGAAGAAAATCTAATGACATGGCCTCCTTGTTCAACTGATCTGAACCCCATTGAGAACCTGTGGTCCATCATCAAATGTGAGATTTACAAGGAGGGAAAACAGTACACCTCTCTGAACAGTGTCTGGGAGGCTGTGGTTGCTGCTGCATGCAATGTTGATGGTGAACAGATCAAAACAGTGACAGAATCCATGGATGGCAGGCTTTTGAGTGTCCTTGCAAAGAAAGGTGGCTATATTGGTCACTGATTTGTTTTTGTTTTGTTTTTGAATGTCAGAAATGTATATTTGTGAATGTTGAGATGTTATATTGGTTTCACTGGTAATAATAAATAATTGAAATGGGTATATATTT